TATATATATATATATAGTAAATAGAGACCATGTATACTTATAGACTGGCTACCACGGCTAGTTGATGTTAGCTAACACAGAAAGAAATATAATTTGTTGCAATAAATCAATTAATCGCAGGATCAATTAAAATGAGATCTATAATTGTATTAGTTTAAAATGGTCTCCGACAATACTATTGTTTATCACGATAATTTCTGAGACAATTTATCGTCCAGTAAAATTTGTTCTCTTTTGAGTTAAACTTGATGTGACGCTTTGTGTCTCTTTATAATGTTCCTTTCATCATCAATCAACTAAGCTGTTCAAACGACTTTTATAATTTCTGACCTCAAATATTGTTTCAAAACTATCCACAGATAAGCTGWTTAATCTCAGTTTGCCTCAGAGCTTTGATTTATCGTTAATGAGCCTCTTATTAGTTAATACCAGGCAGCCGAAGCAGGAAAGGTTAAGTGAGCACTAAGAACGCTCTTAATGARGGTAAAAAGTTGTTTGGAAACAGAGGCCGGCTGCTGTGGTTCTGGTGAGCTTTTCGCAAACAACACCGCTAAGCTCCCCGGCTCTGCTTTGCAGGTGTGATGTCTTCTCACGTGTGACAGCTACCAGGATGTGTGTGTGCATGTGTGTGTGTGTGTAAAGTGGGAAGAGAGATTACCAAAGTGTGAGTGACAGCTTGGCGCTCAGCGTGTTCTGTCAGTCACATTGGTGTGTGATGAAGTGTGTGCCATATTTGTTTGTGCGGCAAAAAAAAAAGCGGCCCTGAGCGAATCGCCAAGCTGCCCATCACTGCGCAGCAAACCACCAATCCTCTGGGCCTCCAGCGGGGTCCCATTATCTGCCGCATGAGCGCACACACACACACACACACACGCCAAACACACACAAACATCAGTTTGTGCAGCCAGGGGCCCATTACCAGACTGCAAACCCCAAGGCAACAAAGAACCTGCAGAAAATACATGTAGCAGCTCTGACAGCGCTGCACTTACTCATCCCCAGAGGTAGAAATGATACTTGGAAAAAGGTTGTTTTGGGAGAGGCATCCAGCTAGTTCAGTTATTTACTGTAATAAATGTTGAACTTTTTATCATCCTTGTTTGTGTCAAATGATTTCCTTTGATGATTCAAACCCACTGATGCACATAAGCAGAGTGGCAGCAGGGTGTAGTTTCAGAAAATGGTTTGATAAAAGAAAAATGTGTCCGAGTAGTTTGTGCTAGGATGTTGTGGTCGACAGCGTTGAGTGAAAAGTTGTTTAAAGCATCCATGAGGTGTTTTGTATGAGTTTTGGGGTAACATTACACATATTTTTTTTATTAACTATGAGAATAAAGTCATGATACATGACATATCTTGGGTCATTTAGGACCTGCTGTGGACAGCCTCCAATGCATGACACTGTGTTCATGAAGTAGTGTGCTAGTATTGTCATATTATTTAAATTTTATTTTCATAATTGTATTACAACCTAATCTCATAATATTACCATTTCATTCTCATAGTATAATAACGCTATTCTCATAATATAAATTTAGTCTCATATTGTCTTTTCTCAATTATATTTTATTCTCATATTACAATTGTATTCTCATATTATAACTTTATTGTCATAACTGTACTTAATTCTCATATGACTTCTCATAATCATGTTA